TCTACCTTCGTTTCCTCCCATACTTTCCAAAATGATTCCCCCCCGACAAAAAGGCTCGTCCCCTTAATAAGGCCCATTGAAAGGGCCAGGGGGGGGGGGGGAGGAAGGCGAGAAGCTTATTAATTAATCTATTACCATCTATTACCCTATTCCTGTTAGATGTCACAAATTTCGTGTGCGCTATTACGGATGATCATGTGGGAAATAAATGCTTTGTGCAAATTTGAGTTCGAAGTTTAATTTAAGGAAAGTCATTGATGAAGGAGCGGCGTAATGTAAGGAGAGATGGCAAAAACCCTTTCGTGAACAAATGCTAAGGCATAGTGCAAAATTCCGAACACATGCGACCTTCCTTTTCCTGTCATCGGGAAACCGGATTTACCGCATACTCGTACACACTAACTCGCTATACTTAGTTATGCTAGTTACCAGGTTTACGAGAGGAACCTGAATTGCATCAAATCATCAAGTGAACATTCCGGTGGACACCCGAATTTGGAAGTGAGTAGATCCACAATTCGAATAAATTTGGAAGTCAATAATGTATTTCCAAGCCACCGTCAACTTTCACACGGCGCCACCCAAACACAATATAGCATCTTTGCAGCTGTAAGAAAAGGAAGACCAGAATTTTTCGGGTAGATGAGGAATTAATAAGAATTATAAAATTAGATCTCGACCGCGTGCGAGTAGATTTATTTCTATAAAAATGCATATGATTTTCTATAAATATTTAAATGAAAGGGCTTAAATGAAGGAGTATGAGAGGGGTTACCGTATGTCGAAACTTTATTGTTCTGGTAGGTTCACATTCACATTCTCCTAGACCTTTTGAATTACGCACACGTACGTGTGCATACGTGCCCACACACAAATACGCAAGCAACCATGCGCTTGGCATGAACAGCCGTCTTATTGAAAACCGAGAATTTCTAATCACCGAGCGCCATGTTTAGTATGACTCACACCTTTCGCAGTTCTGCGGCCGGAATTTTTTTCAGCTTGGCGGTGGGATGTTCACCCGGTCGGGAACTGATGGAATTGCGCAACAAGTCACGGCATGCGATTAAAAAAAGGTGAATGGGAAGGCGCGCGTGCAAAAAGCCGTTAGTCGGTCGGTCGGTCGACCCTTATTTTTACAAAAAGAAAAACTCCGAGCATGTGCAACCCAATAATGGTGTATCGAGAGTGCGCACACCATTCCATTGAGTTTTCCACAAATGACAAGTGACGATGGTATCACACGAGTACGTGCGACCACTTGATTTGGTCAGGAATTCCTATATGGTCTTGCGCGCAGCAGAATTTTTCATACGCCTACGGCTCACGGAAAACCGTAGGGGCCTGACGGAAATTCCCCAGCAACCCCAAACACCGGTAGTCCGAGTTCCGGGTGAGAAAGGTCAAGGAACGCTTCTTTGAAAGAAGAGGGATGGTTCGACGACCGCTCGCGAACACATCTTATTTTACTCGTGGAAGGAGAGTAATGTAACAAATAATTCGTTCGTGCGCACTGAAATTTCATAAACGGCGGCGCATCGGACATCATTAGCTTGTTGACGATTTACGTATTTTTAGATCACGTATCATCATCATCTATCTGTCATAGTAGATGTGCGGTGTATGCAAGCGTTCGTGTCCTATTTTACTTGGTTGCCGAATCGACAGGCTAGCTAAATTTTAATTCTAGAAGAAGTGAGACTCACACGCTTAATTTTAATTCTAGAAAAACACTGGTCTCACACGCGCCAAATTTTATTCTAGAAAAAAGGGAGCGCAGCGTCATATTTCACACGTCAGGTCACAAACAAACAAAGCCAAATGTTCGCACGAGAATTTTCTTTGTTCAAAAGAAAAAAAAAATTCTTTTTTTTTTTTTTTTTTTTTGATTCATTTATTGCGATTATTATTTTGTTCTGTTCCTCGAGGTTAAAAAAAAAGATTTTACGTGAAATGTAAGTTGCAAAAAAAAAAAAAAAAATTGATGATGGATTAAATGATTGATGATGGAATTTACAGGTATATGCAGCAAATATGTTTTGCTGCAATGTCTATGAAGTATAATATAAAATAAAATGTGGTAGTATTGGCGATGGATTTCGATTAAATAATGCATACGTAAAGGGGTGTGTATGGCTGGGATGGGATCGTGGCATAATTGCTTAAAAGATATACTTGAAGTTTTGCTTAATTTCATACTAATTTTTTTTTTTTGTTTTGTTTTTTTTTTGTTTTTTTTTTTTTTCTGTTCTTTTTTTTTGTTAAATACGAAAATATTTTTTTGATCCCAGTAATCATAATTTCGGATGTTGCGAAAAGTGTGTTTGCTACCATGCCTCCCCGAGATATTCGATGTAATTGTTCGTCAGCGGGAGACTGAGAGATGATGCGAAAAAGGAAAAAAAAGAAATGTCTGAAAGTAGGAAAGGATAAAGAATAAAATAAAATAAAATATGTAAAAAAGGAAAAAAAAAAAAAAAAAAAAAAAAGAATCTATCTCTTATTTACAAAGTAATAAACAAAGATTATTTTTTTTTTTTTTTTTTTTTTTTTATCACAAAAATGTCCGTTTTGTGGGAAAAAAAAAACATTGATGAAACCCCAACATCCGATTAATTCCTGTTTGCCCTAACCGGAGAACTGTACACCCGCTCCAATTCCTTTCTGACCATCGATTGATTGGCCGGTTTACCTACCCAGCCATTCATCCCTGCCTCAAAGTATCGCTCCTCGCAGGGATTTGTGGTGTAGGCGATTATCGGAATTTTTCGATTCTCTTCCAAGACCGTTGAACCGGCGGCGTGTATCGCGAGGGTGGTCTCGATACCTGACAACTCGGGCATATCTATGTCCATGAATATGATGTCAAAGGCTTCGTCGGATAATCGCTCGAGTGCTTCCTTGCCGCTCACGGTGCAAGTGGTAGTGTGACCGAATTCTCTGGAAAGAATTCTTGATAGCATCCTTGCGGTAATTACATTGTCGTCTACGATCAACGTCCTTACGCAAGGGGTGATTGATAGTGATGCCATGCCTGCAGAAATAGCTGTGACAGTTGAGTCGGATACGGTGGTGGCGGTTGGAGTGGTCGGTGAGGTTACAGGTGAGTGAACTGCCGAAGAAGCGCAGGTGATGGCTGGCATTTTGACTTTATGTTCCAGCTTTTTCTTCCTTTTTTTGATTATTTTAAGTATTAAAGAAAAACACACCAACAGTTTGCCCGATATTGTGTGAAGAAAGGTGGGAACGTTCTGTGCTTTTTTTTTTGATATTGTTGTTGGTAATAATGAAATTATTATTGTGGTGCTGTTATTCTGGTCGTCGACTAGTTGTCGTCGTGAAGTAGGTGCTAGCTTTGTTTGCGTTAAAAACTGTCTCGCAGTAGAAGTTTCGTTCGTAAAAAAAAAAAAAATCTGAAATGAAATAATGGAATAAAAGAGAAAAGAAAACTTCTTGAAGATTGAGAGGCGAAAAAAGAAGTAGGGGTCAATGAAATAAGGGACGGCCTTATATAGTTTTATATTTTATGGGCTAGCCTAAATAGGAGATAGTAGCTTCACCGAATACCAAGACTTTTTTTTTTTTGATGTACACCATTCAACTAGTCATTATTAACTATACAGTGAACCTAGACCCTTTTTTTTTTTATGCTCGGTTAATGTAAAACCCACCACCCGCCAATCAAGTGACCCATTTGCTAATGGCAATATAAAGGGATATAAGGTATAAAGTGAATGCGGAAATACTCAAAAGGCGGATGAGTAATACTGCGCACACTACGTGTAGATCTTTGCCGCCGCCGCCGCCATCAGTAACTTAGCATGACAGTCGGATGGATAGGCGGGTTGAAGGGATGCGAACCCTGGCCAATTCCGAGGACAATTGCGGGCACAAGGTCACCTAAACCCCCGAGATGAACCCAATAATATAATATACGGTTATAATAATGGTCGATAATGATAGTAATGATGACCAATAGTTAGCTGAAACACTAATCAGGCGACATTCCTCGTTTGTTGGTCATGAGAGAGTCACCCATCACCCATCACCCATCGTACGATCCATCTCAATATTCGATTATGGGCGGGAGGCGGAGTGTGGGACTTGGGTGTGCGCGCAGGAAATTATTCGTGCAATAATAAATAAGCTTGTGGTGGTTTCCCACCTGTTTATTGTTGTTTTGTTTGGTCGAGTCCAAGCTCTATGCCAACACATCAACACCTTATTACTAATCATGGAAAACCATTGGGGAAGAAAGGAAAGGAAATTTGTATCACTTTACTCCGCAAATTAGTGGTTTGCTGGTTTGTTTGCTGGGCTGGTTGGTCTAATGAATAGATAGGTAAGGTGATTATTATAATTATATAATGCGTGTATAGAACCGATAAATTATATAATACAGTATATAAACAGTATATATAGATATATATTGTATGTGCCCGCGGTATACAAGCTATTCATTAATACTTTTAGGTGTTATTATTTTGTTACATCACATCTCCTCGTACTGTACACTTCGATGAAATATGGCAATCAATCTCTCATCCCCGTCATAGTAAATTCCTGAATGATTTTTTTCCATCACGCCACCCTATTGTTTCGAGGTGTTGCCGTGTTTCTCTGTTTGTCGGCGACGCAACGTTGCGCAGGAATATGGTTTTGTTCCGATCGCCGCAAATTGGGAAAACAATACCACCACCCACAATACCAATTGAAGTCCACTTGCCACAATGAGCCACGCATTCTGCCGTTCGTCGTCGAATCACATCACGCCAACGCCAACAATTAACAAATCCAATTGTTACGGTCGAAATACCGGCCACTTGAATGCGCCGCATGCATAGCATTGTACGTCGTGGAAAAAGAAAGAAAGAAAGAAAGAAAGAAGAAAAGAAGGAGGAAAAAAAAAAAAAAAAAAAAATCATAAGTTTTAAATGTGTGCACACAAACAATAATCGCATGTTACCGACGAATGACCATGATGACCATACAAGGCAATAAAACATTGATGCCGTCGGAGATTTACCCCAGAGCATGAGTCTCAAATATTTACATGACATGAGAGGCCGGTCAGGTGTTTTTGTTTGAACATTGAGGTGCGTATATGGGTGTGTGTGAGTGATAAAATAATGACAACAATAGTGATGTTGTTATTGTTACCGCAGTGTAATAAACTAGTTGTGACTCATGTCTGCTGTGCATTTATTCCACAAAAAAAAAAAAAACTTTCGAAACACCAACAATTGCGAACACGCACACCTCGCAAAGATCATGCGCAGTCTTCGGTTCAAAATTTCCAGGCCGTAAGACAAAGAAAACGTGCGCGTGCGGATGGGTGTGACAAAATATTGGAACCGTAATTATCGTATTTCATTGTGGTTATTGACATGGAAATACGAGTCAGCTGCATCAGGTGTTGAACATCATGCGAATGTATGCGCATTCTGTCTCACTTTTTATTATATACAGTATTGAGCGAAGCTTAGCTCGGCTAGCATAGCATGGATAGATAAGAGAAAGGGACATGTTCATTGTGTCAACAAGAGGTCATAGATGATCGGATGGCTCACGGGACGAGAAAACGTGTTACATTCTTTTCGATGCCACGTCCACATCACATCCAGATTTCGTCTAGTGTCAGAGGTTAAAATTGATGCTATTGTCCTTCGACGTCTCTCGTGGACTCTGATGTCAACGAATTGTGTGTGAATTCATGTGCACCAAAGACAACCCACCCTTTATCGCCCAACCCCAGAGGCCGTTGAACAAAAGAACCATTGTCCATAATTATTATATCATGTCTTTCACTGGTCACATTTCGGTGACAATAGCATCGGTTGTATGTAACTGTACGCACATATACAGTACGTGTCAATCAGAATATCCTAACCAATAACGATAGCCATGCGCGCAATATGTCAAATACCAAGAAGTTGCCAATCACAAGTAATCAAGTAATCAGGCACGTCCTTTGTTCACAAGTGCATGAAACTAGACTCGCTTCCTATCGCACTCCCCTCAATCGGTTATTGCTAAAACCCTGGAATTTTTGTCCGTGGTCATCACCAGCGGCATCGACCGCATCCTATACGTACGTACTGTACAAAACCTTGAAAAAACGTGGCCAATTTTATTGTTCGGAGAATTACTGGAATTTCAATGCATACAGTAAATGCGTTGTGTGTGATGCGAACGATGGATGCATAATATATTGATCAGAATATATATACGCACATAAAACAACTGTATATGATAGAATTTGAAACACCTAATCCTTGATTGCGACAAGTGTCATTCATCTCGGTCGCAGGATTGATTCGACTTCCTTGGCACCGAACGACTTTCACACGGTGGTCATCAATTCAACTCCTCTTCTATGAACTGACTAGCATCGAAATGTGTTCATTCAAATCAAATCTTAATCACCATGTGATTGGTCGACTTGTTTACATAATATGCCCACAATCCTCGGCTCGCTCTCTCTTTTTTTTTTTCATGATAGCCAACTTTTCATTTTAATCTCGGTACGCGTGACCAACAATAAAAATGGCACGCATTGTTAATTACTCTACATCTACTGTATTTAATCAATCTATTCAAAATAGACCGATGTACACGAATCGGCTGATTTCTTTTTGGGACAATAATTTCTTACATAATCTAATTTTTAAATGAGCGCCACAAGGGAAATTGAGTTGCAGCAACAATTTTTTTCTCGACGGACGGAAATTGCGCGACGCACAACCAACTACCCTGTTTTTTCTCGATAACCTTTCGGAAATTGCACTTGTGCAATCATCCTGATTGTGAAAAAAATAATATCATAAATTATGCAGCCCATATAGCATACGTAAATTAAATAATTTTTTGTTTGCGTATAAAACAAAAACAACTGCTTATTATTCCACCGCGGTATACGATTTCTTTTTTTTCTTATTGGTGATTGGTTGATTGAACAGAAAGATGGAAGTTCCTTGGGGGCTGCAGGTGGCATCTGGAAGCATTATTCTAGGGTGAGTTTTATGTAATAATAAAAAAAAAAAAAAAGATCATCTTCAACAATCATGTCTTACAATTGTATTCAATTTTATTAAAAATATTAATTTTATTATGGTCATAACAATTTGAACATTCTCATCGATTTTAAAAATAGCACATTTTTATCAGCTGAATTGACGATGATCGCGCGTTATTTTTAATTGATCATTCATCCGTCCAACTTCTTTGGCAATCTGAACAATCGAGTGAATTCGCATTCTCTCAAAATCCTTTCTCAAGGAAAAGATCACACGATCCTTGGTTCAAAGAGTTAAGCTTTTACGTTTTAAAAAAGTTTTAGTTTAATGCGCTTTATGTGTTTATGGGAGTTTTTTTATTTATTTTTTTTTAAATAGGCTTATCAATTTGCAATGCAATTTGGGGTAAACTCAATTTCTTTATACAGGAAAATGCAATGATTAGATTAATGACAAAGGTATTTTTTGTATTCCGTAAGTAGTTAGAAACCTATGGAGTGGGCGGTGGTTGCTCCTCGTCACCTTCCTCCGATGGCGGTGGTGTGATCTCTTTTGGCTCTTTGGTTTCGCCGGTTTCCTTGGGATTAACGTAATCATCATACGGATTCCTCTCCACAAAGGGTCTCTTTCCCAACAACGTTATCATGTCCTCCCTGTTCAAGACCTCTTTGGATAACAAGAGTTGCGCCACCTTTTCCACGTCCTTTCTCTTCTCCGTTAATAACTCCGTGGTTCGTTCATAAGCCAATTCCACCAGTTTGCGAACCTCAATGTCAATCATCTTAGCCGTCTCCTCGGAATACGGCTTTTGAAATTGAGGCTCCGTCTCATTGGGGTTGTGGAATGACAAAGGTCCCACGCTGGGATTCATACCATAGACCGAGACCTGGGCGTACGCCATCTTTGTGACCTTTTGCAAATCATCCTGAGCTCCGGTGGTCACAATGTTAAAGAAGATTTGCTCCGACACCCTTCCGCCCAAGGTCATGCACATGCGGTCCAACAATTGCGCGGTCGAATACAAATATTGATCCTTTGGTAAGTATTGGGCGTACCCGAGTGCACCGATACCTCGAGGAATGATGGACACCTTCAACAACGGATCGGCGTGCTCGAGGAACCACCCGGCAACCGCGTGTCCGGCCTCATGATAGGCCACGGTTTTCTTTTCCTCGGGTGATAACACACGCGACTTCTTCTCTAGGCCCGCGATCACTCGTTCAATCGCCTGTTCAAAATGTTCCTCCGACACCGAATCCTTCTGATAACGCGCGGCTATCAGAGCGGCCTCATTGCAAACATTGGCGATATCGGCACCAGAGAATCCCGGTGTCAACGAGGCCAATTTGTTTGCCAGCCGACCGATGTCCTCCCTTGTTTTTATGGGTCTCAAATGCACTTTAAAAATTTCGCTTCGACCTTTTATATCGGGTCGGTCGATGGCGATGTGACGATCGAACCGTCCCGGACGCATCAACGCGGCATCCAGCACATCCGGTCTGTTCGTACCGGCCAGAACCACCACATGCTCACTCGAACCAAACCCGTCCATCTCGACGAGCAATTGATTTAATGTGCTTTCACGCTCATCATTCCCCCCAAATTGTCCCATCTTCCCGCGAGACTTTCCTATCGCATCAATCTCATCGACGAAGATGATGCATGGCGCGTGTTTCTTGGCATTGGCGAATAGATCGCGAACCCGAGATGGGCCTACGCCGACAAACATCTCCACAAACTCGGATCCGGAAACACTCAGAAATGGGACGCCGGCTTCACCCGCTGTCGCTTTTGCGAGCAAGGTCTTACCCGTACCCGGGGGTCCACTCAAAATGGCACCTTTCGGGATCTTGGCCCCCAACTTCTCATAAGCCGACGGATCCTTTAGGAATTTAACAAATTCCATGATTTCCTCCTTGGCTTCATCCATCCCCGCAACGTCTTTAAACTTGACTTTGACCTCGGTCTCCTGGTTGAACAATTTTGCCTTGGACTTTCCAATGCCAAAAATTCCTTGCGAACCAGCCGCCCCACCTGCGCGTCTTGTCATGTAAAACAACACGCCCGCTAGAAGAAGGGTTGGCGCAAAGTGCAACAACGTGCCCATGATATTTATTTCATCGTGATATGCCACGGGGATACGCTCGGTTGGTGGAATTTCTAGTTCCTTCTGCGCCTCATCTAATTTCCGTTCGAACGCCTCCACCGACCCAATGCTGAAATAGTAACTCATGGCCGGCAATGACGACACGTTCGGATACATTTGCCCGGTCGCATTTGAGTTCAGGTAGACTCTGACCTTCTTTCGATTCAACACAACCAATTTGTCCACTAGACCTTTATCCAAGAACGCCGTTCGAAATTCTTGCCACGTTATCTCTCGTGAATTTTCATTGCCTCCTGTGACTTTATAGAGAACATAGGCCGAAAATAAGAGGGGGAGTATTGTATTGGTGTTGAGTTGAAAGTTAAACTCCCGAGACGACGGTGATTGCGGTTGTCTTTGCGTCTTGTGCTCACTCTGCGAACGCGAACTGTCAGCTGTGCTTGCTTTTGGTTTTTGATCTTTTGCATTGTTTTTGACTTTGGCAGCGTCCTTATTAAAAAAGTTCTCGAATCCTTTTGGTATTTTAATCGTTTCATTTACGTCGTCCTTGTGGTTTTTTTTCTCTTCGCCGTTGGGACTTGTCTTTCCCTCCTCACCACCGCTGCCACCCTTGTTCTCCT